TTATTAATTTTTAATATATTTTTTTTTTAAAAAAATAACTTAATTATTCTTTCCTTACTTACTCCTAAGTAATATGAGAAAACACTTTCCTTACTTACTTCTAAGTAATATGAAAAAACACTTACCTTCTTTCTCGAAGTTGGGATCGAGGAATGTCGTTCCCACGGCATGTTAGATTCGCGAAAATGAGTAAGTATATTTATTATTAATTTTTAATATTTTTTTTTTTTTAAAAAACAACTTAATTACTCTTTCCTTACTTACTTCTAAGTAATATGAGAAAACATTTACCTTCTTTCTCAGAGTTGGGATCGAGGAATGTCATTCCCATAGCATGTTAGATTCACGAAAATGGATAAGTATATTTATTATTAATTTTTAATATATTTTTTTTTTAAAAAAATAACTTAATTATTCTTTCCTTACTTACTCCTAAGTAATATGAAAAAACACTTTCCTTACTTACTCCTAAGTAATATGAGAAAACATTTACCTTCTTTCTCGAAGTTGGGATCGAGGAATGTCATTCCCATGGCATGTTAGATTCGCGAAAATAGGCAAGTATATTTATTATTAATTTTTAATATTTTTTTTTTTTTTAAAAAAAATAACTTAATTACTCTTTCCTTACTTACTTCTAAGTAATATGAAAAAACACTTACTTTTTTCTTGAAGTTGAGATCGAGGAATATCATTTCCACAGCATGTTAGATTCGCGAAAATAGGTAAATATATTTATTATTAATTTTTAATATATTTTTTTTAAAAAAATAACTTAATTACTCTTTCCTTACTTACTCCTAAGTAATATGAGAAAACACTTACCTTCTTTCTCAGAATTGGGATCGGGAATGTCGTTCCCGCAGCATTTAGATTCGTAAAAAGGATAAGTATATTTATTATTAATTTTTTTTAATATTTTTTTTTAAAAAGAAATAAAAACAACTTACTTACCTCTTCTCTTACTTATTCTTAAATAAAATAAGAAAGCACTTACCTTCTTTCTCAAAATTGTGATCGGAAATGTCGTAAAAAGTAAGAATTGGGTAATAGTATAGAAACGAGAGAAATAGGTAATAGTATAGAAATGAAAAAAGAGGTAATAATAGAGAATTGGGTAATATAAAAGTGGGTAATAATAAAGAATTAGGTAATATAGAAACAGGAAAAGTGAGTAATATAGAAGTGGAAAAGTGAGTTAAAATAGAAACAGGAAAAGTGGGTAATATAGAAGTAGAAAAAGTGAGTAATATAGAAGCAGAAAAATGGATAATATAGAAGTGGTAATATAGAAACGGGAGAAGTGGGTAATATAGAAATGGAAGAGTTGGGTAATATAGAATCGGGAGAAGTAGATAATATAAAAACGGAAAATATGATAATATTGAAGTAGATAATATATCAGGAAATTTTAATAAGCAAAAATTTCCGGAATTTTAATATGGTATTAAATTTTCGGAATTTTTTACAAAATATTATGGAAATTTCCGGAAAATTTTCGAAAATT